TAAATAATTGCTTGTTTAAACGAAAGATTTAAAATGGACTGTATATGCTATGCCTACCACTGGTATCTAAGCCTGGTTTTTAGCGTTATAAATTGTTTGTTTGTTTATAGATATGCACAAAACTACACAATGGGCTATCTGTGCTCTGCCCACCACAGGTATCGAAACCCGGCTTTTAGCGTTGTAAGTCCGCAGGCATACCGCTGTGCCACTGGGGGGGGGGGGGGGCTTAGCGTTATAAACCTTCAGATTATCTCTGAGCCAACGGGGACAGAAATAGAGAAAACGAAGCTATTCGGTGATGAAGAAAAAGACATTATCATTCCAGATAAGTAGAAAAAAATAAAATATATCCCCCGAAAGAAATTAAGATCATTAACTTACTTAGAAAGTCACAAATTTAAAACAAGAAACAAATAAATAAAATACTGACAATTTTATATGTGCAAAATTAGTAAAATATATATGTTCATGTGACTTTTATTTAAAACTGCGATTAGAAAGATGAAGTACTAAATGTGTATGCCCTTGGACGTTGTCGTAGATTCTCTACGAATTATACACACAAAATTATTCATGTATATACGTGTTAAAGATTTATTTTCTTTTTCATCAGAGGTGAAATTGAAAAGAGAATCTATAACGTAAAGGCCTAATACATTCTTTGATTGGCCGTACTCTCTGCTGTGGACTGCAATTTTGCCCATTCAAGGCTCATCAGCACAGCTTGAGTTAGCACATATATTCAATCATTTAACAGTTAGTCTGATGTATAATAGTGAATAATGAAGACGACGAAATGTCATAACATTATCCACATACCTAAATTAATTTAGGTTACTATATGGTGAAGTAAAACGGACTCAGAATGGAAGTAATTTTGTAATATCTATGGGGTTTTATGTTGCTACAATATAGTAAGAAAAAGACAAAATCAATTCGGCATATACTTTCCATACGTTCTCAATTAAAATAACTAAATTAAAAGTATTAACAATTACAATTTTTTACTATTATATATATTCAGGAATTTTAGAATATTAGTTTTGTTTGTTTGTAATTAAGCACAAAGCTACACAATGGGCTATCTGTGTAGTGGCCACCACGGGTATCGAAACCCGGATGTTAGCGTCGTAAGTCCGCAGACATACCGCTGTGCCACTGGGAGGCGAAATATTAGTTAAAATCAATCAAAGTATATAATGATCAATTATTGACTGGTTACAGGGGCAATAACTGTTTCATTCTACCCCCTCTCTTCATTTTATTAAAATCTGATTAATTAGCGCTGTCACATAGCATATTTAGCCTACATCCCCGGGGCTATATGTAAATCAGTAAAATTCAGAAATTGTTTAATTTTCAAAATATAACACCCCATCGCTATGTGATTATATCAATAAAAGTATTATTTATAAAGTACTCACCTGTCTAATTTCAACACAAAATTTTCCTAAAATACCTGCGAGATATCTGTTGTTTATAAATTAGGCCTAAATGAATCAGCGTGGTTTAACTGTGCTACAAAAAATTGTCATCTGCAAAGATTCTTTTGCCTAAACGGCCTTGACCGAGTAACAGGGGTTGTCCTAATGTATAGTTGATCACAAATTGTGCACCTGTAAAAATATTTGTGCAGTTGAAAATTCACCTATATAAGTGAGTTCAAGTAGATAAATATATATATAACATTTAAGATTATAAAATTCCATTCCAGAGTTGATAAATAAATGTATTTACTAGAATATTATTTACTTTTTGGATCATTTCTTACGAGGCATGTATATATATGAGGTGGCACAGCGGCATGTCTACGGACTTGCAATGCTTGAAACCGGGTTTCGATACCCGTGGTGAGCAAAGCACAGATAGCCCATTGTTTAGCTTTGTGCTTAATTTCAAACAAACAAACAAAAATATACGAGGTGCAATAAGGCGTCAGGTATTAAAAAATGAAGAAGTGAAACTATAATTGTGCTGTTGAAAAAATTCTTAGTAAAAGCTCTGATTTAGTATTAGACCTATTATATTTTTAAAAACTACAACCTTTATTTAGTCCCTTGGCGATTTTCAAGAGTTAAGAAGAGTATTCCAACCATACTATATTCGCCATATACATCAAGCTTATGTAAATTGTGTTTCAACCATTACTGTGTTTGTAGTATCCTAGCCAACCTCAAGAGCTATGTATTGAGCGAAACGCAAGAAAAAACAAGAGGAAATTCTCAATAGCCGCGGGTGTAACTAGATCTCAAATCGGTCAAGATATGGAGCTATGAGCTAAAAGTTTGTACTTGAAAAGAAACAAAACAAAAAACTAAGTGCCATTCTGTAAGCCGCGGCTAAAATTATTAAAAGACTGAACAATATGCTCATTCAGCAGAATATGGAAATAAATAAGGTGCTTCGGAGGCTTCAAACACCTTAGTTTTTAATTTGGCCTTCAGTGTGTTGTATTTCGCAAGAATCCACCCGAAACCCTTCCTGACTGCTGGTTTTAATTTTAACTTTCTATTTCGTTTTTGACTAAGAGCCCTTCCGGTTTCTAAGTGTTATTCACTTGTTTGTAAAGTTAACTTGCTTTTAGTGACGAACTGAAGTAAGTAGGTTTTGCGTTTTATTGTTTATTTTAACATTCAACTTTATGAAGATATTAGTATGTTTGAGAAAGGTCTAAACTGTGTGAATTAGTTTTAGCATTGAGGTAAAGTTTGAGCTTTTGTTTAAACATTTATTGTGTCTAATGCAATTTGAGTAGTTTTATTTTTCTTTCACATAACTCTGGATTTTACTTTTATTCTTAGTTCAGAGTTTAGTTAACTTACAGGTGAGAACACAGTGAACCGATAATAGGCTCATTTAATAGTCTTCATTCGCTCTTATCAGTTCCACGCACACAAACTCGTTGATTTCTTACCCTAATGTGTTATAATAAAACATATTTCTCAATTATACTGTGTGCTTAAAACATATACATTTTAAAAAGGCTTATTACTTACACAATATACAATAAAAATTGCATTTTTTTAGTTATTCGTGTTGGCAAGACGGGAGGTGTACAAAACATTATAAAAATCAAAGTTGTTGATGCTGTCTGCTGCCTGTTGTTGCTATAGCTGATGTTAGACTAAAAGTACTGCATATATGGTACCCAGTTTTTCCATTGCTGCGTAAATTAAGGAAAGTTGACTTCCGTGTTTTATCTCGGGTAATATATGTGAGTATTCAGTATATTAGTAATGAAAGTAGTCTCAAATAATCAATGGTGCATATATATATTTTCTTTATTTCAAAATGAACTCATAAAAATGAAAATTAGGCTTTGAATACGCGATCTTTACCATGATGATGACGTTACACGTCTGACAAATTTTGGCAAGATCCAGGAACTATAAAATTTAGCACTA